GGAGCGGCCACTGCACTCCAGTCTGGGTGACAGAGTGAGACTCCAACTCAAAAAACAAACAAACAAACAAACAAACCAAAAAGGAATATACAATACAGGAAAAAGAAAGTATCCTAATAAGAAAAGGAAGGTGGAAAAGCACTAGATGGAGACACAATGTCAGCTTGGGCATATAAAGATGGACTGAAAAAAGATGAAAACATCAGTGGAGAGAAGCACAGTTTGAATCGTTCACAAGGGCATGGTAGTCTGTTTTAGAGTAGGCCCAGCCACTTCTGCCCTTGGACCTGAATCTGGAGGGTATTACACTTGCACCACAGATCTGTTCTCCAAAAAATGGAAGAACCATCATGAATTACTCCAGTAGCTTCTGAATGATGCATCATTTTGAGAGTTCCGATAGCATGGCTCCCACAGGCTCCCAGAACCCACCACTCACACTTGAGAACTTCAAACAAACAAGGGGAAACACCGAGATAGCCGGTAAGAGGGGAGCAGGTCAAAAAGATCAGACATGAGTCTCAGTACGATCACCGCTACCACCCTGTGTCACTGCCTCCTAGAATACTCCAAAGGCAGGGGGTGAGGGGATGATGCCAGAAAAGAGTTCCTGAAAATGTGCGAAGGTTTCAATTATTCCATGAAGCAAGGTTAATGATGCAAGCTGGAGTGGTTGTGTAGAGAAAGAAAATGCATTTTACTCCTTACAAAGACATACGCAAATTGCAAAGAAGTACTATGCACACTTTTAATTAATTAAAAGTTTTAGTTAATTTGGTAAGAGTATGACTTTTTTATGGGAATAACGTTCTTCATATATAGCAAATGCTACATTTTACCAACCATAAAAATTTACAAATGGTCGAGTCTAATACAGAAATGAAATCTATAATATGGTAAGTAGGCTTAGAATAACAGTAAGTAGGCTCACTGAAAAAGTGGCTTCATGAACTTCTTAACAACTTTAGCAACTTTAGCAACGTGGAAGCACTACAAAGGGTGGTAAATCACTGACACACAAAAAAGGAAGCTGTCAGTTGTGAGAAGTTGTATATCTTTCCAAACATTTAAGTTTTAAAAAGAGTATAAAATAACTTTGTAAAGTAGTGGGAAAGCCAAGTACTATCATTAAAAAGACAGCAATGGACGGGTGCAGTGGCTCAAGCCTGCAATCCCAGCACTTTGGGAAGATTACCTGAGCCCACGGGTTCGAGACCAGACTGAGCAACTTGGCAAGATCTCATCTCTATAATAAATCAAAAAATTAGCCAGGTGTGGTAGCGCATGCCTCTGGCTAATTGGAAGGCTGAGGTGGAAGGATCGCCTGGAAAGTTGAGGCGAGAGGATCACCTGGAAGGCTGAGGTGGGAGGATCACCTGAGCCCAACAGGTCAACGCTGGGGTGGCCATGAGCATGCCACTGTACTCCAGCTTGGGTGAGAGACTCTAACTCAAAAACAAACAAACAAACAAAAAGACAGCAATAAATGCTGTCTTAATATAGCTTCTAAAAATCTGGTGGGCAAAACTTCTTTGGGCCTGAAGTCATTCAAGTTTTCAAGTTCTGAAACTTGAGAAATCAGTGAAAAGCAGGACCATCAGCTAACTCACTCTGTGGATTCAGCCACTGTCCATCCTCCCAGCCCTCCCAGAACTGTGCTCCAGATAGACATTTCTATTCACACCTGACCTCTCCCGAATTTTCCAAGTATCCCTCAGAAACACCCCTGTGTGTATGTGTACCTATACACACACATACACTTTTTAAAAGTAGCAAACTGCCCCACAATGAGGTGGCAGTTTCACTAAACTACCATGCTTAATTAATAAAACATGCAGTTACAGAAACACTTGTTTTTTTCTTTTGTGTGTGTGTTTTTTCTTATCGCTGATATTTTTATTCAATGGCTTCTTACAAGAGCACATTTCATCATCTGTTCACAGCTTTCATGTTACGCAGTGAATTTTGTAATTGTTGTCTTATACATAACTGTACAAATTTGGGAACACTTACCATTACAAGTTTATAAATCTTTGATATTGTACCCAAAATAATAAACACTTTGAAATGCTTCTGTTAGACACCATACTTTAAAATCACTTTAGAATATGAATTGTGGTGGAAGTGGGCAGGTTTGCAAAAATGTCCCTAAACTATAAAATCTGTAAAGTTTTCTGCCAAAACTAAAAGCTGGTGAAGGTTCCTGAATAAATACAGCAACAAGGTAAAAGCAATTTGACCAGCAAGTAAACAGACATCAACCAGAACGTAGGAGTAAAAAAGGGCTTTGTTTAAACAAATAATGAGGAATACCTGTTCACTAGAGAAGTATCCATGTACATATTCAATTGCTTTTAATTTGTATTCTGTCAAAACAGCCTAAAACAAAACACAGAGTAAACAGCATTAATATGTGTGAGCATGATCATACATCTACAAAAACCTCCCAGGCAACTCAACAGTGGCAGGTCTCCATCAGCCCTAGAAGGCAGAGGCGCTTAGGTAATTGTGGTGACAGGACCGGATGCCCTTCCAGGTTCCATACGGTGAGGGTACACAGGGCCAGCAGGAAAACCAACCGGGCCTCCTTGCCCACTATCAAGAAAGGGAATAAAATTATTACAGCTATGACACATTAGTTACATACAGAATTCCTGAAAACGTACTCAGCTTCAAAACATTCCATATCCAACCAAGCTGCCGTTTTTTTTAGATTAAATACATCGGATGTTACTCATTCACCAATTATTTATCGAATAGCTATTATGGTCTAAGTGACAGAGAAGCAAGAATAAGCCAAAGGGTTAGCTGAGAGGCAATCTTAGTAATAAACTTGTGAGCTAAAACAAATAGGGAGCAGCAGAGCACAAGGCAACAATTTCCTTCGTGTCAGTCAAGGGTCGTCCAGGGGTGGAGATGCTGTAACAGTCATCGCTCCGGGTGGGAATGACAACGACGCAGCCAAGTCCTTTCTGTTCTAATCCAGAATCCCCTTATTTTTGTGCTTAAGATACTGTTAGGCTCAAGAGGACATACCAAATTTTTTGTTGTCTGGTACATCCCTGGTCAGGAAGTAGGATACGTACAACCCCCCTGACCCCCCAAAAAACACACACACTTGGAAAACAGCAGGAAAAAAGTTTCGAAACTGGAAGCTACGGACGGCCAGAGCCCAAGAGCTTGGCTTTAAGCTCAAAGCCACACTTACCACCGGGACATTAACTCCGGGCCCCGCGACACACACATCCCACCTATGCCGAGACCTGAGAAAGCCATCGCCTTCCCCACCACCCTGCCGGACACTCTCTGCGCCCGCCTCTCGTCCCCATTCGCTGGGGCCCCAGAGGCGAAGCAACAAAACTCGGAAACATCCAAGCATCGCCCAGAAGGACAGCGCTGTTCAGAGTCCGCAAAGCCGGCTTCGGAGCCGAGACGGCCTTGGCGTCACTTCCAGGGCCCCGCGCTGACTTTCCCGGCGTGCACGCCCCCGAGCTCGGCTCGGCTTCGCGGAGTGCTCCGAGGAAGACGCCCCCGGGGCCGCGAGGACCCCAGGCGACCCGGCCACCCCGCCCCCCGCCCCACGGCGCCCCGGAGAGAAGAGGTGGGGCGCGCGCGTCCCTCACGCGAACCCACGCGGCCGGGGCGGCGGCTACCTTCCGGATCTCGTCCAGCACCGTCTCGAAGGACTTCTTGTCCATTCTGGCCGCGGCCCTGGCGCGCTCGGCAGCTGACCGCCCGCAGCCACAGCC